GAGCTCTTGACAGCTTCTATTGCAGCTATATTTATGCCTATTTAGGACCATGAATCTTTCCATTTACATTTTTACCCTAAGAATTTCTGGCTAATATTTTGGACACTTGGTTCTGCCATTTGTGTGTATGTGTAGGTATAAGCATAAGTGTAGGTATAAGCAATTGTCTTAAAGTGGGACTCTAGATAACAGAGATATTCCCATAATTAACCCTTACTTTTGTGGTAGTCATTATTTTTGTGACGTTTTACTGTTTCATCTGCAGTATGGACTTTTACGTGGACCCTGTCACCTGGCCTGATTATTAATTTCTTTACATGCTATGTCAAAATTAGGTACAAAGTTACCTAAGTTTCTTTTGGTGAGCTGATGCTGTGTCTAAATTGTCACGCCAATCTGCTTTATAACTCTTCTAACTCTTCTAGAACAACTGAGAAAATGGAAGATAAGGATTAAGAGAAAGAGAAAGAATAAAGTTTCTCTTACTTCTCTAAGCATTACCGTTATTCCTTGGGTTGATAGTGCCTTAGAGACCAGTTCTCCTTAAACTGTTTCCACTTGCAACCCCTTTTTGTTCAGGAAATACAGTATGGATGAACACTACCAGAAACTCCTTTGATTCATTATAATTTTTAATTTTTGGTTATTGGATATTTAGAAAATTTTCATTGTTGCCAAAGTTTTTTCATTTTCCCCGCCCCCATATAGTTATGATGCCCAGTATGATGCACAGTTTAAGAATCTAGGCCTTAGAGGGATTTACTCAAATTGCACTCCCTGCGATACATGTTTTCCATTTAAAAGGAAGACATCTGAAAATATATTTGAGAATTTTATCATTTGAAAGAGTGAAAATATTGTGGAAGACTGTATCTTTATAACTTGGGTGATGTGTTCTCATTTTATAACTGGATCAGTTCTTAATCAAAAATAATCTCAAGAATAAGTTTATTATGTCTATTGCAAAATCAATTTTTATCTTGCAGTAGGCCATCAACTCAAGTAAAACTTTTTTTATTCAGATTTTTATTGTGGTATTTATATTTAAATAATGTGAACTTTATAGCAGCTTTCTTTTAGTAACCAAAATAAGATGCAAAGTTTCATGAATATGCAACTGGGAAAAGCAAAAGTTATGGCTTGGATTTAAAGGAAAAATATATTACGTTTTTACTGTACATAAAATACTTCACATGGCAGAATTTTAATTTTAGCAGTATTGTAAAATTGTAAGGATCAAGTTAATTCTTAGAACCACTGAATGGCTGTTGATTTAACCCACTAATTAGGAGGGTTGTGGATATAAACAGGTAGTTCAGAAATGCATAAAGGAAGGTTTCTTTTATTGGGGAACTTACATTGAAGTTGGGAGATATTTATGTATAAATAGTTACCTTGGGATTCTTAGAATTTGAATATCCATTTTAACTCTGGAAGTGAGTTGAATCAAAAATCATAGGAGTTTGATTATTTTCCTGACAAACCTGTCCATGGTCTGAGACCAGGTTAACTGTATTTCCTATGCCAGTTGAGGCATGGTTTGGTGCCTGGGTAAAGCACAGCAGTGTTGTCAATTGATGTTCTTTGAAATTGTTTGTCAGTGTGCCAGTATTGGGTGTTTTAGTCCAGGGAATATAAAATTTAAAAAAAAAACTATTTTGTAAATGATTTCATAGAGAATCCAGTATAACTGTTTTTACATCAAGGAACCCACATTAAAAGTGAACAATAATTTATGTTCATTAGTTAGCCATTCTCTTAAAATGTGTAATTACGACAGAGGCTGGCACACATCCAGAAGAACAAAAGCAAGCAGTGTTGGCGTGGATGTGGGGAGAAAGGGACTCTTCTTCATTGTTGGAAGGAATGCCGACTGGTCCAGCCTTTCTGGAAAACAATATGGATGTTTCTCAAAAAACTAGAAATTTAGCTCCCAATTAACCCAGCAATACCACTTCTGGGAATATATCCTAAGGGTACAAAAAAGCACAGTAGAAATGACATCTACACCTATGTGTTCATTGCAGCACTATTTGCAATAGCCAGAATCCGGAAACAACAATCCGAGAACAGATGACTGGTTAAGAAAATTCAGTATATCTGCACAATGGAATACTATGCAGTTGTTAGGAAAGAAGAAGTCATTGAAGTCATGAAATTTGCTGATGAGTGGATAGTCATGGAGAGTATCATGCTAATGGAAATGAGTCAGAGAGGGACAGACAGAATAACTGCATTCATTTGTAGAATATAAATATCGTAATATGAGACTAACACCCAAGGAGACAGTAGAGACAAGGGCCAGAAGATTGCTCCATGGTTCGAAGCCTGCCTTCTGAGCCAGCGGAGAAGGCAGCTGTGATGGAGAAGGCATCACTAAGTCAATGATGGAGGGTTTGCTCAGGATGGCAGATGTATGGAAAATAGATAAAGGACCAAACATGATGGCCTCTCATTATCTGTAATCTGTATGGCAAACCATAATACCCATAAGTAGAGAGAGTAAGAGGGCAATTATCTGCCATAGAGACAGTGGGAGGGATGGGATGGGGTGTGGGGAAGGGATACTGGGGGTTTTGGTGGTGGAAAATGTACACTGGTGGAGAGATGGATGTTCCATCACTGCATGACTGAAAAACAAACATAAAAGTTTTGTAACTTTAGTTCACGATCATTTAATAAAAGAAAAATGTATAATCAAATCAGTACCATGTACTTGTGTTTGGGAAATTAAATAGAGCCCTAAAAGATAAGTCCATATATGATACCAGATTTTGATAACTTTTCTGAAGAAGTGTCAATATTTTTCAGAAGACAGAGTCAGGGAGGGAATGAGTTGACTGGGTGTGGGGTGTGAGGGAACTCTTTTTAGAAAGTCCAAACTCACTCCTGTTCCTTGAGTGCACCAGACAGACCCCTGGGAGGGCCTTCCCTTGCCATCTCTGCAACAAGTTGCTCGGGTCCAAGATTTGTTTGTGTGTCTCTGGATCATGGTCATGTGGGAGCTTAAGTAGATGGTGGCCGTGTGTGGGCGTCAAGGAGATGCATTTTAGGTGGACCCCTTTTTAGTGGTGATAGAGACAAACTGGATGGGCTGTGAAGAAATGGACTGGTGTGAAGGATTTAAATCAGGAGATAGAAAAAGACCTTAATCCTGTGGTCTGGCCCTTATACATGATGGGATGAACATGTTGGCTTATTGTCTACCCACATCCCATCTGCCGATCTTGTATGGCCCGAGAATGATGTACAAATGACCCTTGGGAGATGAAAGACTTCCTTTCCCTGCTTTGTGTATTTATTTATTTGAATTTTGGACCACACCCATTGTTGCTCAGGGCTTTCTCCTGCCTTTGCAGTCAAGGATCTCTCCTGGTGGTGCTCTGGGGACCATCTGTGGTGCCAGGGATCAAACTCAGGTCAGTCACATGCAAGTCAAGCGGCTTTTAAGTGATAGGTGACCTTGACCTTGGTTCAGTTATGGTGTGTGTGTGTGTGTGTGTGTGTGAGAGAGAGAGAGAGAGAGAGAGAGAGAGAGAGAGAGAGACAGAGACAGAGACAGAGAGAGAGAGAAGATGTATTTGAGACACTTTGAGAAGGCGTAATTACGTGTGTAGGGAATAATTTGCTTTTGGTAACTAAAAAAGGATTTGGGGCTCATTCACTGACTAGGGACTCAAGCAATGTTTGTCAACATTTTTTTCCTATCAAAGTTCCCTTACAAGCCTGTTTCCTTCCTGTGGTTCCCTTGGAACTTTGCTCCCCACCCTCTTTTATGTGATTTTCACCTGTGGCCTAGTTGGAAGATACTGCTCTGAAAGGAGGAGCTATCTGAGGAAAGCCTCAAGTAACCCAGAGAACTGTCTAAACTGAGGTTGAATTGAGGTATTTAATTATAGAGCTGGCTATTGTACTCAATACCTCTTTTGCAAACCACAACACCCAAAAGGAGAGAGAGAACAGAGGGTAATGCCCTGTCACAGCGGCAGGGTGAGATGGGGGGATGGGGAGTGGGAGGGATACTGGGATCCATAGTGGTGGGAAATGGGCACTGGTGGAGGGATGGGTACTTGATCATTGTATAATCGAAACCCAAGCACAAAATTTGTAAGTCTACAACTGTACCTTGTGGTGTCTCACTAAAAAAATTTGAAAAAAAATTATAGAGCTGAATTTCTAGATTTTTTAGAAAATTCCTGAAACAAATAGTCAAAATATTAATGGTGTTATAGTCGTATATTTTTCTTATTATTAAGTTTTTTATTTCATTAATGTTTTTAAAAGTTTTTTATTTTTTTTAATTTGCAGTGCAGGGATAAAACCCAAGGTCTTACATTTGCTCCACTGCTGTTTCGTGTTTTATTTTTACGAAAAAAAAAAAATTTATTGTGGTAACAGGGTTTGTGACAGTTTGAATATTATTGTTTTATACTTGTAATGCTATGTCACTGCCCCATTTATGTTTTTTTTTTAATTATGTTGGAATTTTTTGGGCCAGTGGAATGGTACAGAAGTTAGGGCGGCACTTATCTTGCGTGTGGCTAACTGGCTTCAGTGCCCAGCATCCCAAGAGTAATTCCTGAGTGCAGAGTCAGGAGTAACCCCTCAGCATTGCCAGGTGTGGCACAAAAACAAAAACAGCAAACAGACAAAAAAATTATATTGCAATTTTTATCAGAAAAATTTGAAAGAATACAAAGCTAGGACTTCCTTAGATGAACTAATGCACTTTTCCCAGTAAAAATCCATGATTATCCTGAGTAGATACCTGCTGTGGACTTTATTGCCTTGTGTATAAAGGGTCATTTGAAAACCTAATATTTTTCTTCACTAAATATCTGCTCAAGCAGGAACTCTGCTCAGATCTCATAGTCTCACCCTGGGCTCAGTTCCAGGCCTACATGAAACTTATTTAGGTTTCCTTGTTTATTTTTGTTTATACCATTAATGCTTCAATAGTAGGTGTTTTATATGGTGACATGGTCAGTATTATCTTTCAGGTCGACTGGGGGCAGCTGGATTATTTAGTTGTTGACATGCCACCAGGAACTGGAGATGTGCAGTTATCAGTCTCACAGAATGTTCCCATTGCAGGTGAGTCTTGGCTTAAAGTGATTTGTGCTGTCTTCGATGTTTTGCTGTTGCCATAAGAAATAGTAAATTAAATGTCAGGCAAACATTTTTGTGTCTTAAAAAAATCACTTGTAAAATTTCCCTTAGAGGTAAGATTGAATTTGTAGATCGAATTCTTTTAAAATATTACAGAATAAGTATGTTTACAAAAACATGAAGACACTTTGAAAAGATGATGGTATATTTCTCTGTTCCAGAAAAACGGTAACACTTAAGTATTATTTAGGTAGAATATGGTGGTTTGTTTTACAGTTGTTCAACCAATACAGAGTAATGCCTCATACTGAGTGACAGATGCTTTTTATGTTGGGGTGGCATCTGGATGTGCCTGGGACTTATTCCTGGCTCTGTCATGATCACTCCTGGCAGCACATGGGGGACGATAGGTGGTGCCAGGGACTGAACCAGGATTCGTCACATGCAAAGCAGGGCCTAATCCCAATACTATCCTTTTGTCCCTTGGTAAAATATTTATGGAACCAATTCTAAAGATTAATAATTATTAGTAAAATATGGCCTTTGAGTATATCTGACACTGACACTGTCCTCCCATTGTTCATCAATTTGCTCGAGCGGTCCCAGTAATGTCTCCATTGTGAGACTTCTTGTTACTGTTTGGCATATTGAATACTCTTGGTAGCTTGCCAGGCTCTCTGAGAGGGGCGGAGGAATCGAACCTGGTTCGGCCAGGCTGGCTGTGTGCAAGGTAAACACCCTACCGCTGTGCTATCACTCCAGCCCTATAACTATGAAAATTATAGTATGCTAATTGTGTGATATTAAAGACAAGAAAGCTAAGGGAAGAAGGTAGGGCACCTGGGTTCGATTTCTGGCACCCCATACATTCCACCTACCCTCCTCCAGGACTGATCCCTGAGCTCAGAGCCAGGAGTAAGTCCTGTGTATTGCCAGGTATGGCTCCCAGACAAACAAAAAAAGACAAGAAAACTATTAATGTATCAGCTTATATTCATTTTCCAGTACTTCTGTAGAGTATTGGAATATACTTCTCTTTTATGTTATGGAATTTAACTTTTGTGTTAGTTCTGTTTTTAGGGATTTTATTGGATTCCACTGAGGAAATAATTATAAATCTTTCACATGTAAAGACTTTTGAAAATTGAAAGACTTTTTCTTCGGGGGAATTCCCAAGCTCTGCTAAGGAGGCTGAGGGGTCACCTCGGGCACTGCTAAGCCTGCCTGTGTGGGCGTGGAGAGTTCATTTCTGGGGCTGGTGTTGTGTGGGCCCAGCTGTGTTGGGGCTGCCAGCTCACACATGGCGGTGCTTGTGGGTTATTCCTAGCTAAATGCTCACTCCCTGTGGTGCTAAGGGACCATGAAGCTGAAAATCAACCAGGAGTCCTGCTTGCAAAAATGTTCTTCAGTCCTTTGGGCCATGAATTGCAGATAATGGAACATCAGTTACTTAATAGATAATAAATACCCAAGAGATATTGCCAGTTTTGTTTATCAGAAGATTTAGATTTTAGGTTTGTAATAAGAGAAATACATTATTTAGAAATATCACTATGGTCTCAATATGAATATCGGTATTTTCATGTTCGAGTATATTTATAATCCTGAAGGAATTTATGACTTTTTTCTTTGTTGAGATGAACTATAAAGTGTGACATGGGAGTAAAGTGAGGTGACACAGGAAAATAATTTGTCCTTTTGTAATCAGTGTGTTATATAGTCACTCTTTCTCATTTTTGCAGTTTGGGGACTTTCATATTTCTAAATGTTAAAAACACTGATGAAATGTCTGTTTGTGATGAAATAAAATATAATCCCAGCACTTTGAAATGTCTATTTCAGGTTTTTAAATTTTTACATTATTCACATGGGTAATACTTGGATACAATTGGACTAAATTATCATTTATTCCCTAAGCTGTCACTTAGTACCTTGAAAAAGTTTAATTTACTTAACATAGATAACCCAATGTCCCTAAGCAATTTACTTTTGTTTAGTCAGATAAGACACTGCTATTCGGATGAAATATATGATTATATCACTGTATTTTAATTTGTGTTCATACTCTAGAATCTGCAATGTATAGATTAGAGTTAAGATTTGTTTTTCTTTTGAGGATTCCTTCTTTTTTTTTTTATCTGTAAATTTTTTTTTTTTATTAGTGAAGCACCATGAGGTACAGTTGTAGATTTACAAATCTTTGTGCTTGGGTTTCGGTCATACAATGATCAAATACCCATCCCTCCACCAGTGCCCATTTTCCACCACCATGGATAATATCCCCCCCACCCCCCTCCCACCCTGCCTCTGTGGCAGGGCATTCCCCTTTGTTCTCTCTCTCCTTTTGGGTGTTGTGGTCTGCAAAAGAGGCATTGAGTGGCAAACATGTTCAGTCCATAGTCTACTTTCAACATGCATTTCCCCTCCTGGGAGGATCCTCCAAACACCCTTTATTTGGTGCTCCCTTCTCTATCTGAACTGCCCTTTCCCCTAGAATACCTGGCTGGCCTCTAAGCTATGGAGTAATCCTCCTGGTGTTGATCTCAGCTGTTCTTAGGTATTAATCTCATATTTTGTTGCTTTATATCCCCCAGGTGAATGCAATCTTTCTATCTTCTGTCTATCCCTCTCTTTCTGACTCATTTCACTTAGCATGATACTTTCCATATTGTACCACTTGTATATAAATTTCATGACTTCATCTTTTCTAAGAGCTACATAGTACTCCATTGTGCAGATGTACCAAAGTTTCTTTAACCAGTCATCTGTTCTTGGGCATTCAGGTTTCTTCCAGTTTCTGGCTATTGTAAAGAGTGCTGCAATGAACAAACAAGTGCAGATGTCACTTCTACTATACTTTTTTGCCTCTCTGGGGTATATTCCTAGGAGTGGTATCGCTGGGTCAAATGGGAGCTCGATTTCTAATTTTTTGAGAAACATCCGTACTGTTTTCCAAAAGGGCTGAACTAGTCGGCATTCCCACCAACAGTGAAGGAGTGTCCCTTTCTCGCCACATCCACGCCAGCATAGGTTGCTTTTGTTCTTTTGAATGTGGGCCAGTCTCTGAGCTGTGAGATGGTATCTCATTGTGGTTTTGATCTGCATCTCCCTGATGATTAATGATGTAGAGCATTTTCTCATGTGCTTTTTTGCCATTCGGATTTCTTCTTTGAGAAAGTTTCTGTTCATTTCATTGCCCCATTTTTTTAATGGGTTTGGATGTTTTCTTCCTGTGGAGTTCAACCAGTACTTTGTATATCCTTGATATCAATCCCTTGTCAGATGTGTATTGGGTGAATATCCTTTCCCATTCTGTAGACTGTCTTTGTATTTTGGTCACTGTTTCTTTGGAGGTTCAGAAGCTTCTTAGTTTAAGATAGTCCCATCTATCTATCTCTGTTTTTACTTGCTCGGCCAGTGGCATGGCATCTTTGAAAGTACCATTAGCCTCAATGTCATGGAGGGTTTTGCCAACTTTGTCTTCAATGTACCTTATGGATTCTGGTCTGATGTTGAGGTCTTTAATCCATTTTGATCTTACTTTTGTACATGGTGTTAGGCAGAGTTCTGAGCCCATTTTTTTGCATGTAGCCGTCCAGTGATGCCAGCACAATTTGTTAAAGAGGCTTTCCTTACTCCACTTCACATTTCTTGCACCTTTATCAAAGATTAGATGAACATATGATTGAGGGGAGATGTCAGTGTATTCAACCCTGTTCCATTGGTCTGCAGTTCTGCTTTTGTTCAAGTACCACGCTGTTTTAATTATTACTGCTTTGTAGTAGTACAGTTTGAAGTTAGGGAGGTGGATTCCTCCCATTTTCTTTTTCGCAAGAATTGCTTTAGCTATTCGTGGGGGCTTATTGTTCCATATAAATTTCAGGAGTGTTTGCTCCATTTCTTTGAAGAATGTCATGGGTATCCTTATAGGCATTGCATTGAATTTATACAATGCTTTTGGTAGTATTGCCATTTTGACAATGTTAAGTCTCCCGACCCATGAGCAGGGGATATCTTTCCATTTCCTCATGTCCTCTTTTATTTCCTGAAGTAGCGTTTTGTAGTTTTCTTTGTACAGGTCCTTTACTTCCTTAGTTAAGCTGATTCCTAGGTACTTGATTTTCTGGGGCACAATTGTGAACGGGATTGTTTTTTTCATGTTGCTTTCTTCTCTCTCACTGTTTGCGTATAGGAAAGCCATGGACTTTTGGGTATTGATGTTATAGCCGGCAACTTTACTATACGAGTCTATTGTTTCTAGGAGCTTTTTGGTGGAGGTTATTGGGTTCTCTAAGTATAGTAACATATCATCTGCAAATAGTGAGAGCTTGATTTCTTCCTTTCCTACCTGAATGCCCTTAATATCTTTTTCTTGCCTAATCGCTATTGCAAGTACTTCCAGTACTATATTGAACAGCAGTGGAGAGAGTGGGCATCCTTGTCTCGTCCCTGATCTTAGAGGGAAGGCTCTCAGTTTTCCCCCATTGAGGATGATGCTTGCTGTAGGGTTGTGGTAGATGGCTTTAACTATGTTGAGGAAAGTCCCCTCTATACCCATTTTGGCTAGGGTTTTCATCATAAATGGGTGCTGGATCTTGTCAAATGCTTTCTCTGCATCTATTGATATAATCATATGCTTTTTATCTTTTCTTTTGTTGATATGGTGGATTATGTTGATTGATTTCCGAATGTTAAACCGTCCTTGCATTCCTGGGATGAATCCTACTTGGTCATGGTGTATGATCTTTTTGATGAGTAGTTGGATTCTATTTGCTAGTAGTTTGTTGAGAATCTTTGCATCTGTGTTCATCAGGGATATCGGCCTGTAATTCTCTTTCTTTGTGGTATCTCTGTCTGCTTTTGGTATCAGTGTGATATTCGCTTCGTAGAAACTATTCGGAAGTGTTTTTGATATTTCAATTTCGTGGAAAAGCTTGAAGAAGATTGGGATTAAGTCCTTTTTAAAGATTTGGAAGAATTCACTA